GCAGATCTTGGAATCCCTTGCCCACGGATACCCTCAGGACAGCTTGGTGAAGGAGGAAGGATTCATCTGGGGTCTGAGGAGGTACACCAGAGGGGATATCAGTGCTCCTTAAGGAGACAGTTGCTACGTTTTGGTCCACATTTTTTTGTACAGTGTACAGTGTTTCCGAAGCAGTTGTCCTCAAGGCTTTACAGTTCCTTGGGCATCCCATATACCCCCAGACACCATTCAAGTTGTTAACCCCTAATAACAGCAACAAAACCAAGCTCAAGGACTGTTTTACTTGACTCTGTGTGTAGGGATGTGGAAGATGAGTGTTGCTTGGCCGTGTGGAGCTTAAGGGGACCCATCAAATTCAGCGGCCCTTAAAGGGGTGAACGCTACATAGGGATAGTGTACAACCTGGCTAGGGATAGTTAGAACAAGTGCTGGGAAAGGCTTTGTTCAGGAACGTCTCAGTTTGGATAACCCCTGGATATTATTGTCCACTATGGGGGGAGGATGATCCTGTTCCAACCTGCAGCTAGTTTGACACATTCATACTGTACGTTCTGTATTGCCAGCACAGCACCCTATTGGGAGGCCACTTTATTCCAGCCAAAGGGACCTGTTTAAGGAGCTCCCCTCAAACAGATTATCGCCTGTAAGTTATGCATAATATTTCTACTGTTTCTGAACTGCAACACGTCTTACTGCACATACAAATACTTGATATTGTTACTGTAGTGCTGTACTATTCATTATATAAAACCAGAAACTTTCCAGAAGATGCTGTTCTTGCCTGGTCCCTACTACCTTGCTAGACCTACTCACATGGCCACTTCACGAATGGAGTAGAGAGTATGACAAACTCTACATTTTCCACCTTTTCAGGCATTGCATTCATGAAAATAGTAGAATGAAAAAGACTTGAAATGTAACATATTCACATTAAGGTATATCAGAAGACGTGTATTAGGATTGCCTAGTCAAAAATCCCAAAAGGTACATTTATTCCACTATTTAGACATTTGTTTTGCTACTACAAAATTAAAACGTACTGATCTATTTTATTTTAAAAGTATTAGTCATGTGAAATGAGCAGCTGAAGAATGGCATCTTTAGACTCTGGAACTCAGTGCCACTTTAATTTCAGCTCAAGCTCCAGAGCTTATCTTAAAAATGTTATCAGGTCCTCTACAGATCTAGGCAATGATCCAGCTCTGCCAACCCTGCCAACTCTACCAAAGAGTCTTAGGGCTGGTTGCCACCATAGAAATGCAGTCCAGTTGCCTTCTGGATGTGTTTCCGCGTGCATCTTTTTTATGTGTTTTTGGCACGTTCCAGTGTGTTGATGATGCTCTCATTTTTCCCCTTTCTTTTTTTTTTCCCCCTAGAGCTCCAACTACATTCGTTTCCAAGCCTATTACTGCTTTACACAATCAGCTAAGTGTATGATGTGGACAATTGTTTTTAATACACTGTTTTTATATGTGATTGACTGTGTGTTCACTTTGATAAGGGTATATCCTTCACAGGATCATTGTGATCTTAATAAAGATATTTGTTTGCAACCACATGGATGCATTCTGTACTCTGCTTTGGATTTATACATACTGTACCAACTTTTTTGCAGTTTGCTTTAGTCAACTGCTCCTCTTTTTTTATCTATGCTATTGGCTCGGTTAATAATCCACACCTTTATTTATGGTGAGTCAGAGAAACTATGATACGTATTTATACCTCTTGATTTGGCATCTATTAGTTTTTGATTATAAATGATTCAGCTCTGCCAACCTTGCCAACTCTACCAAAGAGTCTTAGGGCCGGTTCACACCATAGAAATGCAGTCCAGTTGCCTCCTGGATGCGTTTCCCTGTTCATCTTTTTGATGTGTTTTTGGCACGTTCCGGTGTGTTTATGATGCTTTCTGGCTCATTTTCCCCCTTTCTTTTTCTTCAATATAAATAGGGACATGTGCATTCCAGTTCGTTTTTGGTGCATTTTGGTGCGATCGATGCATTTTTTATGCTTTTTACCGCATTCCAGTATAGTTCTCTGCAGGAAAAATGCAGCCTGTTCTACTTTTTTTTTCTGCAACCAGAACACACTGAAACAGCAAGCACTGATGTGAACTATGACATTGACAACCATATAACCTACTTTCTGTGCATTTTGGATGCAGAAAAAAAGTACACTGTAATGCATGTAGTGTGAACTAGCCCTTAGTTTAGTAAAAACCTGTCTAACACTAAACCTACTCTCAGCCCCATTCTGAGCTTAATCTTTCTAACCCTGGAAAGAAAAGATCGTTATACTTACCTATTAGGCCAAGGTGTATTCTGCTACATGTCTTTGGTGAAAATAACCCAAATTAGTATTTATTATTTAGTCTGTAGGAAAGTTATAGAGTTCACAAACTATGGGATAGATCTGAAAATTGATCAGTCCTGAAGTACTGATGGCCAATCTAATTTCTTGAGGCCCAAAACTGTCAGGACAGTACAGATATCCCCCAAATGACCCTTTTTTGCAAAGTAGACAGTCCGACGTATTTCATAACAGGCATGGCGAGTTTTTTGAAGTTGTAATTTTTTTGTCATAATTTTTCTGAAAATGAAGAAATTTAAAAAATTATTCTCACAATTTTTTTTTTAACATACGGTCACCAGTGCAGTACAGCGTCAGCATATAACTGGTGTGGCGGTGATCAGGGGCACTGACTGATGACAGTACGAAAAAAAAATTGATAATTTTTTTCAATTTTTTATTAAATTGTTTTCTCTTTTTTAAAGATTTTTTTTCATATTACACTATGCCCAAAGTAGTATAATGTTACCATAGTAACATTGTACTACTTTGGGGAAGTGATCAGTATTTTTTTTTTTTTTTTACACAATTTGATTATAGCAAAGAAATTTCTTTGATATAAGCAAGCATTTAAAGTGGAGTTCAACCCACCCTGACAAAAAATAAAAGTCAGCAGCTACAAAAACTGTAGCTGCTGACTTTTAAAATACATACACTTACCTGTCCCGTGGTCCAGCGGTGCCTTCACGACAGTTGATTTCACCAGCGGTCTTCTCTCCCTGGCGCCGGCATCTTCAGTGCAGGCACCCGGCTATGACAGTTTGCGGCTTCACAACCGGGTGCCCACTGCGCATGCGCGAGAAGCAGTGCAGTTTGTGAATGGCCCCATAGTCTTCTGTGATCTCACGTGTCCCAGAAGACTACGGGGAGGGAGGGAGGAGGACAACTTCCGCTTCTGATCGCCTAGGCGATCACAGCGGAAGTGAGAGCGGGTATCTGTCAAATTCGGGAACCCGATCCCCTCCTCTCCCCAAAGGTGCCAATCCTTAATGGGGAGAGGGGGACAAAGGCTTAAAGCAGAACTTCCCCTTTTGGGTGGAGCTCCGCTTTAAGTATAGCGATCTCTTTTTTACAGAGTTAGATGGATTAGGCTTAGAATGTGGCTGAGAGTAGGTTTATTGTTACATAGCTTTTTACTAAACTAACACCTTAAGCAGGCAATACATTAAAGGGGGGGGGGTCTAGTATTCCATTGGACTGACAATACAGATTTATCTGCTCTGTTTTATTATTCCCTTTGGTTTATAAGTATACATCTATACGTTTTCTTATTAAATTTGTGGTGTACCACGGTAATGCACGATGAGAGTGTGCCCTTGTTTGCTTTTGTTCACCAGTACCAAGATTTCCCGATCTTTGAAGGGCTGCACCTCAATGTTTGTCATTCAAAATTCCTTCTAGTCTGCATGAAGATTTGAGCATTGGTTCGTTTGTACTTTTGGTTTACACTGCTTTGCAAGGCTGTGCATAGCAGAGCCATACAAAGCAGTGTGCTTACAGTGAAGCACAAACACAGCCACACAGTGTAAAACAGCACACAGTTAACCCTTGATCGCCCCACATGTTAACCCCTTCCTGCCCAGTGCCATTAGTACAGTGTCAGTGCTTTTTATTAGGGGATGTCAGTGACATCAAGTCAGTTCCCCCCAGTGTCAGAATGCCTGCCGCAGTCCCGCAATAAGTCGCTGATCACCGCCATTACTAGTAAAAAAAAAAAAAATCCCAGTATATATACTGCCATTTGTAAATGACACAACTTTCACGTAAACCAATTAATTTACATGTATTGGATTTTTTTTTTCCTGCAAAGACATGGAGCAGAATATATTTTGATTTTTTAAATTTTTTTTACTGGACATCTTTAATAGCAAAAAGTCAAAAATGTTGTTTTTTTTTCTCAAAATTGTCGCTGTTTTTATAGCGCAAAAAATAAAATCCGCACAGGCGATTAATTACCACTGAAAGAAAGCTCTATTCATGGGAAAAGGACGTAAATTTCATTTATATTGTAAAGCACTGAGCAAACTGTTGGCACTATATAAGTTCTGTGTAATAATATAATAATTTGGGTGCAGCATTGCATGACCACGCAGTTGTCAAAGTAATGCAAAAAATGGCCAGGTCAGGAAGGGGGGGGTAATTCCTCAGGAGGGCAAGTTGTTAAGAAGTTATTAATATTCCAAGCAGGGGCGGACTGACCATTTGGAAACTCAGGCACTGCCCGAGGGCCCGGGTCAGTAGGGGGCCCATGAGATGCCCCTGGTACCTTTTTCATAGGCTTTTTTGAGTTTGGGAAAGGACACAGGGTCCCCATGATCCCCTATTGCCCGGGGGGCCCCATGAGTTGTCAGTCTGCCCGATTCTAATTGAATAAAATGTTGAAAGATTGATTGAAAATAGGCATTTTGCCAATGTGTCCAGACTTTAGGGACACCCTGTAGATCGATTATTCCTATCTGGAGAGGTCAATGGGAAAAAGAAATCGATCATTGATTGATGTATAGGCAGTACAATCTCCTCGATTATTCTCTCGTAGAGGTACAGTATGATACCCAGTCACACAGCTGCCTCTCATTATGGGGGCGGTCAGTGCTTATCTATCAGCATTGCTCTCTGTATCAGTGCATTACATAAGACTAGGCAGGAAGCAGGAGAGCCTGTGCTCGTCTCATCTCCTGTCAGACGACATTGCACAACAACGGTCAACTTCGGCCTGTGTTGTCAGGGAGTGTCATGTGACCACGAGGGGCGGGCACAACGTTGTCTCGGCTGTGAATACAGAGCTGCTGTGGAGTCTTCCTGTATCAGGCTTCAGGTCGGCTGTAGGTAAGTAGCGGGTTCCTGTTATAGAGGACAGGCTGAGGGGAGCTCCGAGCAAGGAGGGGGGCGCTGTGACTGTATGGACCATAAAGACCCCTCAGGGCCAGCAGCAATACTCTGTTATTTCCAGTCATTCTTTATTTTCACACTTCTGGACGTGGTTAAAGCGACCCTGTCAGCTTCAAGATACAATGTCCCTGCAAAAACCAGAGCTAGCCCTTTATGGTGGCCTGTGCCCCCTTCTGCCAGCACTGCAGCCTCCAGAACCCTCCATGGTGTGCACCTAGGGTTGTCACCTCATCCCTTTACAACTGAACACATTAATGACAGGTTCTGTGGCAGACTAATGCAGTAATATTCACTCACGTGGTGGCTTATCTGCATTAACTACTTGCAGCCCCGCTTATAGTCAAATGACGGGCGGGGGAACATCTCTCCCCTATGGGAGGGCGTCATATGATGTCCTTCCCGGATCGTGCTTTGCACGTGCCCGCAGGGCAGATTTGTCACTGGCCTGAACTGTGTACCAGCCCTGTTCCCAGTGCCATGTCACCTGCTGTGACCAATCACAGCAGGTCACATGACAGTTGTATAGGATGGATGGCTTCTTTTCATGCAATCCATTGTATACAAGTGTGTCTAGCTGTGAATGGTCACAGCGATCACATGCACAGGCTGGGCCAATCACAGCAGGTCACATGACTGTTGTATACAATGGATTGCATGAAAAGAAGCCATCCATTGTATACAAGTGTGTCTAGCTGTCAATGGTCACAGCGATCACGTGCACAGGCTGGGCCAATCACAGCCCATCTGTGTCATGTGATTAGCCATAGCTGATCTCAAGAAAAAAACCTGAATGAATCGATTTCATTCAGTTAAATGCTTGCTTATAGCAAAAAAATTCTTTGCTATAATCAAATTGTGTGAATGGTCACAGTGATCACAGGCTGGGCCAATCACAGCCCATCTGTGTCATGCGATTAGCCGTGGCCAGTCACAAGAAAAAAATCTGAATCGATTTCATTCAGTTAAAGCGGAGCTCCACCCAAAAGGGGAAGTTCAGCTTTGAGGACTGCTCCCCCACTCCTCATTAAGGATTGGGACATTTGGGGGTATCCGAATTTGACAGGTACCCACTCCCACTTCTGGTCCGATCGCCTAGGCGACTGGAAGCGAAAGTGTGTCTTCCCTCCCTGTAGTCTTTTGGGACACGTGATAGGTCCTAGAAGACTACAGGATCAGCCATGAAGCGCAGCGCTACTCGCGCATGCGCAGTGGGTACATGGCTGTGAAGCTGCAAGCTGTCAAAGCTGGGTGTGCACACTGAAGATGCCGGCCTCCTGGAATACAGGACGGCCGGTGAAACGGGCTGCGGGGGACAAACCGAGGGACAGGTAAGTCGCTGTTTTTTAAAAAGTCAGCAGCTACAGTTTTTGTAGCTGCTGACTTTTATTTTTTGTCAGGGTGGGTTGAACTCCACTTTAAATGCTTGCTTATATCAAAGAAATTCTTTGCTATAATCAAATTGTGTAAAAAAAAAAAAAAACAAAAACAGATCACTTCCCCAAAGTAGTACAATGTTCCTATGGTAATATTGTACTACTTTGGGCATAGTGTAATATGAAAAAAAATCTTTAAAAAAGAGAAAACAATTTAATAAAAAAATTGAAAAAAATTATACATTTTTTTTTTTGTACTGTCACCAGTCAGTGCCCCTGATTACCGCCACACCAGTTATATGATGACGCTGTACTGCACTGGTGACAGTATGTTAGAAAAAAAATTGTGAGAATTATTTTTTTAATTTCTACATTTTCAGAAACATTATAACAAAAAAATTACAACTTAAAAAAACTCGCCATGCCTCTTATGAAATGCGTCGGACTGTCTACTTTGCAAAAAGGGGTCATTTGGGGATATCTGTACTGTTCTGACATTCTTGGACCTCAAGAAATTAGATTGGCTGTCAGTACTTCAGGATTGATCAATTTTCAGATCTATACCATAGTTTGTGAACTCTATAACTTTCCTACAAACTAAATAATAAACACTGATTTGGGTTATTTTCACCAAAGACATGTAGCAGAATACATCTCGGCCTAAATTTATGAAGAACAATTATTTATTTGCAAACTTTTATAATAGAAACAAAGAAACGTTTGGGTTTTTTTGCTTTTTGTTTTTTTTTTTTTTTAATTTTCAGTCTTTTTTTGTTAATTTAGCAAAAAATAAAAACCCCAGCGGTGATTAAATACCACCAAAAGAAAGCTCCAGTTGTGTGAACAAAATGATCATATTTTAGTTTGGGTACAGTGTTGTATGACTGTGCAATTGTTATTCGAAGTGTGAGAGCGCTGAAACATGAAAATTGGCCTTGGCAGGAAGGGGTTAAAAGTGCCCGGTATTGAAGTGGTTAACTTGGCCACAGAACCTGTGTAATTAATGTGTTCAGTTTTAAAGGGATGAGGTGACAACCCTATGTGCACCACGAATCTACGTTCAGGCTTGGCTCACACTTTGTGTGTTTCTGTGCATCCCCACGTTTCACATTGATTTGAATGGGTACCCTACGCAGAAAAGAAGTTCCTGTCCCTTTTTCAAAATCATGCTGTGACACCATGTGTTTTGGCCCATGCGGAAACAAACATTCATTGTCACATGACAAGAAACCCATTGTTGTCTATGGGGCCCTTTCCAACCTATGCAATGTAATTCCGTGGATTCTAGAAAAAGGTGCAGGTGCTTCTTTTGGGGTGACAGTGTATTTTTGGCCCAATGGGAGCGCAAGAAAAACAACTAAAGGATGTATCTCCCCTCCGTGATGTTCTGTGGTTCCTTCACCAACCACCCCAGTATAGGACTCAGCAATGATATGAGGGTCAAAGGAAGGAACCACAGCATGTGGTGAGGAATCCCAGCATCTGACACTCCAGGAAATGCCAGCTGGCCAGGAAGGAAGGGGGGGTTGTTAGGTAGGAGACACAGGAAAGGTGAGTGTAAAGGCTCAATTATATGCATGGCTGTCATTGCTTCTTGGTTAACAGGCAATATGTCACCGTCTCAACACCTGTGTTGACCATTGAATGCCTGCAGCATTGCATTACACATGGTTGTGGCGTGGCCCCTTTCAAAATGTTTAGTGTGAATGAGGACTGATGGTTTGACAGTTTGATTGACAGCACGAGCAAATGTGACAGCATTCCTGGCATGCAAGGAATGTAACTATTTTCTGAAATTCTTAGATTGATGGTTTCAGCTCCGCTTTACCCTAGGTTCACACCGAAGTGTTTTCCGTAGGGTTTTGCAGAAACGCAGTACAGTCCATTTAACATGATTTCCTGTGGGACAGGTTCACATCTCTGCGTTTTCACCTGGTGCATTTTTTTTCTGGAAAGGGTCAGGGTCTTTTTTAATGCAAAACGTTGCATTTTTGATTCTATAGACTTCAATGGGAACACTGCAGAAAAGCATGAATTGCGTTTTTGCTGCGTTTATTATGCATTTTAAACTCTGCCTAGCAACAAGCAAAAGAAAAAAAAAATGCAGAAACGCAACCAGCATAGGTGTGAACCTTGATTTAAATTTTGGCTCAGCTTTTGAGGGGACTGTAAAACTATCTCTCAACCTCTTATTTTTACAGCCCCCCCCCCCTCTTGCCCATGTAAATTAGGTCTAAGGCCCTATTCACACTTGCATATTTTGAAAACGCATGCAGAAATACGTGAAAAACACATGTCACACTTACTATGCCATTATTTGTTATTGGCACTCCAAAAGTGGCTTGGAAATGTGCCTTTTGTTGTATGGTAAAAAAACAAAAGAAACTCAAAAAGTTGTGGATACTTTTTTTTGGCGTGTGTAGGGCAATCCATTCAAGTGAATGGGCTGTCCTATGCTGTTGAACATAAAACACACCAAAAAAAGTGCAAAAAAAAACAAACCATGAGTTAGCATGACATGCAGGTTTTATTGGGGCCTTAGAGAGCATTTTACTTTCAGGGACCTTTGATCTTGATCTGTTATAAGCTGACAGGGATGCATTTATGCAGTAGGAGATCCATAGAAAAGAAGAGTAAATAGGGGGACAATGAGAGGAGTCAAAAGACTTTTTACAGTTCAGGATATATGAAACTATCTCTCCTTTCTCTTGTATGGTGTCCAGTACAGTTGTAAAGTTGTTTTGCGCAGAAAGCAGACTTGTGATTTTTTTTGATTGCATTACTAATCGCATAACACAAAGGCAAAGCTTATAAAACAAGGGTGTAATTCAGAGGAGCAATGTGTTATTTAAATACAGCCTTGGACACAAGATGAGAACACCCATGGTGAAGAATAGGCTTGCCTGGCAGTGAAAGGGTGGTATGTATTTGAAATGTATTATATGGATCTCATTCAAACCATATCAATTGAGCTGTTTTGGTGTGCACAAATCAATGCAGGCTCAAAACAGGGGCACATGTAAAACAATTGCCTTTGTGCCGTTTTTCCCCTCATATCAATGTGTTGAGATGAGATGCAATGCGTTCAGGACATACTGCATTTTCTGTTCATTGAAGGACACAGCTGAGATCTTGAATTCTGACCACTGGGTTATAGTACCACCTTCAAGATTTAAGATTTCTTCTGTGTTCTGCAATGAAAGAAGTGAAAAGGATTTCACAATGAGTACAAAAGAATCCTCTAATCATCTCAGCACACTGTGGTGTATATACTTGATTGTTGTTGTCATTTTGTGACCCTTCAATAAAGTAAAAAAAAAAAACTAACAGTGTTTTGCGCACGCAACCCTTGCTGTCCCCACACAATGAACACCAGCCTGCACTGTTTTAGTGTGAGGTCTAGTATGAACAAGCCCTAAAACACAAAAGATAATCCCACATGGTATTTATTTTCAGTGAGCAAAGTATGTTATATAGATCTATATAATCCTATTGCACAATCGTCTGGCTTTAAAGTGCTGATACTTGTTTTTTATGCTGCAATCACTAACCTGATTTTGGTTC